GGGATTCCAACTGATCTCCAGGTGACAGTAATCGGTTCACCTGGAGAAAATGGTTGCCTTGGAAGGCAAACTCTATGGCGTTATACCCCACGGAAGTCCCTCCTCTCCCCAAACCCCTCCCTCCTCAGGCTCCACCCCAAAAATCTTCAGTTATTTCCCAACCCAGAGCTGACAACCCTACATACATACAGTCCACTCTCCAGAGCTGCCATTTTCTCAACTAGAATTTATTTTTGTAGACTGGAAATCAGTTGCAACTTTAGGAGATCTCCACGCCCCACCTGGAGGCTGAAGAAGAAGAAGAGATTGGATTTATACCCCGCCCTTCACTCGGAGTCTCAGAGCGGCTCACAAACTCCTTTCACTCCCCCTACCCACAACAGACACCCTGTGAGGTCAGTGGGGGTTGAGAGAGCTCTTTCCAGAACGGCTCTTTCAAGGACAGCTCTGACAGAACTATGGCTTGCCCAAGGTCATCCAGCAGCTGCAAGTGGAGGAGTGGGGAATCAAACCCGGTTCTCCCAGATTAGAGTCAGTGCACTTAACCACTATGCCAAACTGGCAGCCTTATGTAAGTGTGTAGCCCTCACAAACACTCCAAGCTGCTTGCCATACACTATCTCACAATCCTTATGACTCCCTTGAAATTTGGCTTCCATGGCAGCATTAAATATTACTTCCCTCTGTTCCCTCTTGTGACTAGATTAACGGATAAAATAATATTGCAACGTCACCCCTGAAACCAAGAGGAAAGGTGGGATATAAATGTTTTAATTAATAAAGCCTCATTTTGAGACTAACTTGGCTCTGATTTAAAGACTGGTAAGTGAAAGGGTTACAATGGCCCCGGTCACACGGGCCGGATATCACGGGGGGGGGGGGAGGTGCGGCGGGTTGAATAACAAGCAACTGCGCGATCAGGCATTCCCTTGCGGTCCCATCGAGGTCCCGTGGTTAGGGGGGAGGTGCCAATCACACAATGCGCCAAAGAAGCGGCGCGGCACGGCAAACGGGGTTGTGTTGTTTTTTTTAACCTGAAGTATGCGCATGCCCCGTTGGGTGCTTGTGCGCATCCCTGCAGACTTCGGGGGAAAAAAAACTATTCGCAATGGGGCATGGGCGGGCGCCGGATGCCACCGGAAACGCGATCAGACGCCCGCCCTTGCCCCGCGATTTCCGGAAACTAGTACCTCGGAGGTACTAGTTTTTTACCGTGCGTCTTCAGCGGGAAGCCTCGGGTGAGCCACGGGAGCTCTACGCTTCCCAGATGTGGCGGTGAGATTGTGCCTGGAAAATCTGCCTATCTTCCGTCCCTCTAGCGTGGCTAATGCTCCGTGTGACCGGGGCCTTAGTACCTTTTTAACCCAACCTTCCTCCAAGGAGATCAGGATGGCATACCTGGTTCCAGGGCCAAAGTGTTTGGTGCCTTAGGTGAACTATGACTTTGGTGCCCTCTCCATTCAATAGTGAGAAAAGAAAGAATTGTTAAATGTTCATTCCAAATTCATTCAAAACAAAAATAAAAATACGTAAACTCTTCAGAAGCTCTCCACGTTCCATCATGGCAGCTGTAGTCGCCCAGAATCAACAGATATGGAGATTCTAGAAGCTTCTCTTGAAAACCAGAAGAGGGAGTTCTAGAAGCCTTTTTTGACATCCCTTACAATCTGACACTGGCAAGGTTGCCGACTATGAGATGGGGTCTAGAGATCTCCTGGAATTACAGCGAATCTCCGGACTACAGACACGAGTTCCTCTGGACTAAATGGCAGCTTTGAAGGGTGGACTCTATGGCATTTTAGCCCACTGAGGTCCTAACCCCCCCATAGTCCATCTTCCACAGGCTCCACCCTCAAAACTCCATGAATTTTTCAACCTGGAGTTGGCAACTCTTTCTGGCCTCCTTTGGGATTGCCTAGGTTGGTCAGGCCAGCCCTTTGTGGTTCTCCAGTCCTCCATTTTGCCCTCACATCATTTTCATGAGGTGAGTGAAGCTCTGTGTGTGTGGTATGTGTGTGTGTGAGAGAGACTGGCCCCAGGTTATCCAGTGAGTTTCATAGCAACAGGGTTTTGAAACTGTTGGGAGTTTGCAAGTGTCAAACCCTCAGTCATGAAAGAGTTAAACCAGGTGTCGAACTCATTTTTATGAGGACTGGATCTGACATAAAAGGTGTCGAACTCATTTTTTATGAGGGCTGGATCTGACATAAATGTCACTTTGTTGGGCTGGGCCACGTGTACCATAAAATTTAACACAAGGTACCAGAAATATAAACTTTATAAAGATGATTTCAAATGCCGAATGGCAATAGCAGGCATGATTGGATTAGGTGTGATATGCAGAGTGGTAGTAGGTGTGGAGATATCAGCACTGGTAATGAGACAGGAAACCTAGGTCTCCATTTGGTACAGGAGGATTCAGTCCAGGAGGATACAAAGAATAAATGGAAATAAGTCTGAAGAAGTGAACAGTGACTCACAAAAGCACATACCCTACCACAAATTTTGTTAGATTTTAAGGTGCTACTGTACTCTTTCTACTACTATTAGAAACAACAACATTCAAAAACCAGTGGGGGGACATTTTAACCTTCCAGGACATTCAGTTGCTGACCTAAGAGGAGCAATTCTCTTACAAAGGAATGTCAAAGGGAGATTAGAAAGAGAGACTGCTGAATTGCAACTGACAATGAAGCTCAAGACAATGCATCGTCCGGGACTGAATTGAGACCTAGGTTTCTTCTCTCATTACCAATCCTGCTATTGTTATTTCACATCTAAAATCAATTCACTCTCCAAGATATAAGGATGGATGGACTCACATTCTAGCTGTATCTGTAAAAACTGTATCATGAAAGCTCATGCCCTGCCACAAATTTTGTTAGTTGTTAAGGTGCTGCTGGACTCTTGCTCCCTTCCACTAATAAAGAATGCAAGCTGTGCTGTTAGGTTTCTCTCCTCCCATCTGTTAGAACTGGAAAGGGGGAATCTCTCCAAGTGCCATGGGACTCCATCTCTCTTTGTCTCTCTGGCATGCTCTCTCTGGCTCTTTCC